TCTCCTTCTCACCCCAGGTCTAGTTCCAAGCACACCCTCTCCAGAGCAGTGAAGCCCCCCAGGGAGCACGGAGCCTTGCTGGCTCAGCCCGCCACATGTCCCAGCCGGGGCTCAGCCTGCCTTTCCCCTGCCCCATACCCCCAAACCTGGATTCACTACACGAACTTTCAGGGCCAAGAGGGACAAGAAAATCAAGGTCCCTTGTTCAAAATTATGAAGAATGTCAAGATGAACGAATCCCAGTTGACGGGACATTGTGCAAAGTACCTGACCAATAACCCTCAACACTGTCAAGGTCATCAGAAACAAGGGCAGATTCAACTGCCACAGCCCCAAGGAGCCAGAGGAGTCACAACCACAGAAGCAATGTGGGGCCCAGGATTAGGATCCCAGGACAGAAGGTCACTGGACCACAACTAAGAAAGTCTGAATTAACTTCAGCTGGTAATGACGTATGCGTGCTAGTCCACCAATCACCGTGAGCACACTACAGTAAAGGTTACTGACTGCACAGGGGCCCGTAGGAACTTTCTGTACAATATTTGTAGTCTTTCTGTCAATCCAAAAGTGTTCTAACATAAACAGTTACCTTTTATAAATTAACACCAGTTAAAAAAGAATTGAGAGACAATGAATAAATTGCCCAAAATAGAGACAGGATTTGAACTCCAATCTGCCTGACCTCAGGCTTTGGTGACTAACTGCTGAGTACCCAGGAGAAGGCCTTCCCGTGAGGGGCAGAGAGAAGATAGGGGAAGACAGGCTGGAGAAGGAATATTGTCAAAGATTTAGCAGAGGCTGAGTCCACGTGTAATGACCCAGGCCACATATTGTATAACTTGATTTATATGAACTATCCAGAGGAAGCAAATCCATAGAGACAGAAAGTAGATTAGTGGTTGTCAGGGGCGGGGGAGTGACTGCTTAACCTCGTGGGGTTTCTTTTTGGGGTGATGAAAATCTTTTCGAATTCGACAGTGAGCATGACTGTAAAACTCATGAGTATATTAAAAACCACTGGATCGTGCACTTTAAAATGGTTAATATGGTACATGTTGTGTTATGTAAGTTTTATCTCAATTAAAAAAAAAAATGAGACCAGCTTGTGATCCATTCCGTGTGGATACGAGTCTCCACTGCGACGTCTAATAGCAGTGCGTGACCTTGGGCGGGTGGCCTGTCCCTGCCTCCTTTCCTTCATTTGGTGAATGGGGGCAAGACGGTTCCCATCACACGCACCATCACACCATCGTGTGGAGGATTTAAGACAGAACCTTGCATGCAGATGATGGTGCTCATCATTAGCTGTGATAACATTGTCACCAAGGACTTCAACCCTACTGCACCTGCCCTCTGGGGGGTCTAGGCATCTGGGGTCCGTTCTTCACTGGGCAGGTCAACCAAGGCTCATTTCCAAACCTCCCCACTCAAGATCCTGCAAACCATGTAGTCTGATAATCCTCTTTCCCTGACTACCCGGGGCGGAAACCCTATCGCAGGCGGTCCTCAGGCAGGGTTTGGCTGGGGACAGTTCTCCCTAGACCCACAGCATTAGGAGAAAGACTGCGGCGGCCTTGGGGAGGCGTAAGCGGCAGCGCGCCGCCTAGTGGCACTTGCCGGAAACGGCCGACGGGCGAGGCGCCAATCCCGATCTCCAGCCGCTCCTGCAGGGAGCCCCTACAGTTGCTTTCAAAAAATAATTATTATAACATAGGTAGCTTTTATTCAGCTAGATTAGAGGATTTATGCATATTCCTTTAATCCTATGAGGCAGTTATTATTTGCATCTTACGATGGAGGAAACGGATTCTTGGAGTGGTTCCCTAACTGACCCCTGCTCTCCCTGCAGGTAAGAGCAGCGACTGGAGCTGGGGCCACTCTTGTGGGTTTGACTCCAGATTCCAGATCTCTCTGTTTCCTGTATTCTTTTCTGATTTGGGAAGAAATGAAAGTAACCCCTGGAAGGGTCTGCAGGCTCCGCAAAGGGTCAGAACTGGCTCTGGAACCGACTTCAAAGCATTGGTATCACACAGAGGCTGCTGGCCTCCAGCCTCAAGGAGGCCAATGCATTCATGTATCCACTCAATCAGTATCAACCACATCCCTACTATGTGCCGTCGGATTGGAACTGAATACAACACAGTAAACAGGAAAGTCAGAGCCCCCGCCCTCCAGCAGCTCCTGTGCCACTCTCTTGCTTAAGTCACAGCAGTGTCTTTGCAGTGAGCAGGGCACAGGTTGGGAAATAAGTCCTAACACAGCTACTCTGAAGTTGTCACCCCAGCAGAGGGGGCTTTGCCATTCCCCAGTCCTGGGAGATGGAGGTGTGACTCTGGGCAGTCTGACTTCCTGTGGTGCTCTTCCGGCCTGGGCTAGGGCGGAGCCCCACCTGCAGTGTGGCTGGGCCGCAGGTGGCTGGAGAAGGGAGGTCCCTGAGACTGGAGAGGCACTGGAGCATAATGGGGACATTCCCTGCTCCATGCTGGAGTCCTAGAGGGAGAGGCGAGCCCAGGACTTTCTGTAAGCATATATCCAGAGTGGAAAGAGGAAAGTGGGACAGGGTCTGGCAGGAGACAGGAAAATGACTGCTCTGCCTTTGCTTGCTGCCCCTCCCCCTTCTTCCCAGGCAGGAATTACACAAAGCCACGAAACCTGATACTTGGGCTGGTGTGGAAGTCACAGCCTGAACAACAAAGTTCCAAGGACTGCAACTTTTTAGAAAAGTCTCCAATATCCCACTGGCCTTGATTGGGACGGAGGTGGCGCCTATAGTCCCTGAACGCCATGGCTGTGCTGAGGTCCTGGCTGGGCTCTCCGGCACAGTGTCCTTGACCATGCACCTGTGTCCGGTGGATGATGAACTGGTGTGGGTCTTGGGTCACGCCTGTTTATTTCCTGGTGGCACATAAGTAGCTAAATACCTATGTGTCTTTAGAGTCATGTGCTGTTGGTGTCCTCAGATGTGTGTGCCTGTGTGTTTGCTTTTTTGACTCACATGTCCTTGGCCGTGGGTGTTTCTGTGGTCGGATGCCTATTTGTACATGTGCCCTTCCTGGGAGGGAGCTCACGGTGCACCTGCATGTCTCTGTAGTATGTTTGCTCCTGTAGGTGTGTCTGGGGGTGTGCCTGGGACTGTGTCTAGGGTCGTGTGTCTGCTGTGTGCCTGCAGCGTGTGGCTGGCTGGAGCGGGCTGGGTGTGGTGGGGCGGTGACGCTCTGGGCTCTCATCCACTGTTCTTGCCTGGGCTGTTCCAGGCCAAGCTAAAAATAACCCGCCTACCTTGGCCTACAGAGGCTTTTCTCAGTTGACCAAAGTCCTTCCCCAGAGAGTCCCACTCCACCCATATCCACCTTCCTGATCCTGGGTGCCCAGCCATAGGACTGGAGAGGTAGACTGAAGTCAAGCACCGTGCCCCCCCCCTCCATGCTCCAGACCCCAGACTGTGGGGGAGGGGAGGAGGTGTTGGGGCAAATCTTTTTTCATCTTCCCTCTGGGGACATGGATAGGACAGGTCCTGGTTGCTTCTCTGCCTGATCTCCTTCCAGTCGGCAGGCCTGGCCCCAAGCCCTTCTTCCTCCAATCCCTCCTGAGACACTTGGCCCCTACAGAAGCCCACCCTCCTGGGCCTGGCTGGACCTCCCTGACTCCTCTCACACTTTCCTGAAGCAGGCCACACCTGTACTTGAGGAGTGATTCTGGGAAAAGGGAAATCTCTTTCAGGACTAGGCAGCGGGGGACTGGCTTGCTGGCTGCTAGCCCCTTCTCAGAACTGATCCAGCCCCTGGAGAGGGTGTCCAGGAGGAGGAGCCCGGCTCAGAGGGTTTTTTCCCAGCCCCATCTCCCGGCTCAGAGGGTTTTTTCCCAGCCCCATCTCCCGTGGTGCCTTCGCTTCACCATTTGCAGCTGGACAAATAAATGACTTTACATCTTTGGGCCTCAGTTCCCCCATCTGTAAAATGGAGCATATGTATGTTCCCCCATATGTAAAATAGTTCTTGCTTCAGGGAGTTATGAAAATTAACTGAGATGATACATATAAAGTGCTTAGTCCTGGGCCTGGCACACTGGACCTCTCTGCTGGTGGTGTTGATCCACTCCTGTGTCTCTGGGTTTCAATCCTAAGGCACCACCCATGTGTCAAACCTCACCTGACCTCCCACCTCACTCTTGGGAGGTCATGACTTTCCCCCCAAGAATCAGACTGGCTGGGAGGGGATGATCTTAGAAAGAGATTGTGACATTCGCATAGCAGTTTCTGTTATCTATCTGTCTCTCCTTATTCAATTTTACATTCTCTTGTGAAATAGTTAACATTATTCTCCGTTTTACAGATGATCATGATGAAGGGAGCATCAGAATGGTTAAGTAACTCACAGTCACACAGGTAAGGGAGAGTTCAAGTTTGCACTGAGCAGCAAACAGCGCTCCCCACGACCCCCCCCCACACACACACACTGTAATTTTAGGATCAGATGCCACAGGGGTTCCCAGTGGTCTGGCAAACAGGTCTGCCAAAGATCATATAGAAAAGTAGGACCCACCAGGATGATCCTAATAGGTGCCCACATTCACAGTTCTAAGCCCCAGCTTAGCCGGGACTTGGTGTTTGAGGTCTGAGGAAGCCTCTTCTGTAAAGACCTCCACGTGTGGAAGGCATAGACCATGCAAAAAGGGAGAGTCCAGAGTTTAATCATCAGAAGCGAAGGCTGACATATAGCCAAACTAAAGGAAGGCGTGAAGGTACATTAGCTCAGATTTTGGAAACGAAAATTGGGTGGACTCCGATTCCAGACCTCTTCCAGCAGCCAGGTTTTCCAATGCGCTGGGTCCAGCGTTTCTCGAGGACCTCCCTTGAGGGACCCCCAGCTCTGCTTGGCCACGCGGAGGGCCGTCGGGCTCCCCCTCGAGGGCCCCCCTCCGGCCCCGCCCCTGCCCTCCAGGCCCCGCCCCGTCCCCGCGCGGTCCCCGCCTCAGCTGGCTGACTCTAAGACTCTCAGCGGCGCTGGGCATTGTGGCAGGCGGCGGGGGCCGGTGAGGGCGCCGGGGCCGCTAGGAGTGGCTGGGCGCGGAGAGGCGCGCTCCGGGACTCGGACGGCGCGGCGCCGGCCGCTGCGAGCGCCACTGAGCGCACTCCCCTCGGGTCGCGCAACTTCTCTGCCCGGGCGCCGGAGCCCGCAGAGCCGCTCGGAGCCCCGGAGCCGCAGGAGCGCAAAGAGGGGCGCGCCGGAGCCTGGCTCCGGAGTGGGCGCCCGGCACCCATCGCGCTCCGAGCGCCGGGCGGCCCTCCGCGCAGCGTGGCTGCCGCTGCTCCCACCGAGGGCACGGGCTGGCTCGGCCCGGCGCCGGGGAGGACGGCGAGGAGGAGGCGGCGGCGGCGGAGACGGCGGCGGCGAGGCTGGGGCCAGGGAGAAAGCCCTGGGGGAGAGGCACCCGAGCCGGGCCGCGGGATCATGTGGGCCCGCAGCGGAACGCCGGGCGCTTTGCTGCTGGCGCTGCTACTCTGCTGGGACCCGAGGCTGAGCCAAGCAGGTAGGGAGTGATGCGGCTTCGGGGCTGGGGACGAAAGGACCCTGGCGTCTCACTGCGCTCATCCCCAAAGTTGAGGTGGTTTTTGGTAGAGTCTGGGTGCACCGGGAAAGCGGCAGGGGTGCCCAAGTTAGAACGCTGGTTTTTCTGCCCCACTAAAGTGGTAGATGGCGCAGCCACCTCACTGGGGGCGCTGGCCAGGGGTGGGTTAGAGTAAGTCGGAAGCTTCCTGTTCCCGCCTGGGAGGGACCGCACCTTTCCCCTTGATTCGGGATCAGAGCCTCCGCGAGGAACCACCTCCAAGGGACTCCTGCCTTCCAGCGTGCGGCGAGGGCGCCGAAAAAGAACTGTCGCTACGCGGGCCAGGTGTGCGCCGTCTGCCGTTCGCCTGCAACTTCCTAGTCCAGGTCCCAGCTCGCCCAGGCTCCTATGCCTGGAATCTGCAGACCAGAGGGAGGCAGCGAGAGTCCTGCCCAGTACGGGAAGCGCAGGATGCGCTCCGCCAGCCGGGGAGGCCGGAGCGGAGGGCTTTGGCTATTGAAGGGGGAGGGGCTGAATCCTGCACACAGCTTTCCGGGGATGGTGGGCTCGCAGGTTTGGAAGGCCCCCCGCCTCGGGTGTTGGTGTGTGTATTGAAGGAGGGCGGGAGTAGGTAGAGATCCTGCTGAGTTTCCATTTAAATGGGTCACTGACATTCTTGCTGTCCAGGGAACAGACCAGGTGCGCTTGCCTCTCGGTACAGCACCTGCTCCAGATCCAGGAAAATGCTTTAAGGGGGTTGGTGGGTTCCTGATATAAAACCCCCGACCTGCACTGATGTGTACGTGTCTCGCCCGCCCTGTAGCGGGACCGGCGTGGCCAAGTGAACTGACTCTTCCAGGTTAGGCAGGGAGGCGATGGACGCACTGAAGGCATCCTCTCTGGTACCCTAAGCCAAGCAGGTGGACTGGCTCTAATCCGAGGCGCCCACTCTGGGAAAGGGGTGGGGACAGGAGGGGACAATCTTCACCGACCGATTCCTCTCTGAGTTGAAGCTGAGAATCAGGCAGGAAAACTGGAGCAGAAAGTGGACGCGATGACGCAGCCCCCCCCCCCTTTCCCCTGTGATGTTGACATCCGCTCTCCTCCTCTGCTCCCCAATAGCTAAAGATCCCTCACTCTGGAATTAATAATTCCCACGGCCAGGAGTGAGGGCTTGGTTTTAGCACATCCCCCACCTTTTTTTTTTTCCCCAAGCTGTGTGCTGAAAAGTTACGACACACAACCATTTGATCCAAGTTAATTATGATTTGGGCAGACTCTGGTATTTAAAGCAGTGTTTTGAAGTTTGAAGGTAATGATGGGGAAGGGGGGAGGGAGGCGGCTGAATGACCAACCTTGCTTTAAAGGGTGCAGTTAGCTGTGGGAGTGCTGGCTTGGGGTGTTGGTTTCTGGTTTAAGGGTGTTTGAGGAGGTGATTGAAGGGTAAGATGAAGACTTCAAGTGGCACATGGGCAGGGTTGCTGTTTGTGTACCAGCAGGGCAGTGGGATCAGGAATAAATACCAAGGCTACCGAGGGTGAGGGCTCCGCCAGGAGAGAGCCAAGACTGGTGGACCTGGTGTTCTCCGGGTGGGTGGGCTGGGCCAGGAAGGCTGGAGGTGGCCTGCCTTTTCTGCTTAACAAAGCATCCAGCCCCTCTTTCCCCAGAAGAAACCCCAGGCCCGGGGCTTTGATGGATTTGGGCACGAACCGTGCCCAGACAGAAATGGCCTCTAATACCCGGCTTTGATTTCTCACTAGCAAGGAGAAGCCTTGTTGGAATCGTGCTCATTACTTAGCGCTGCAGGGGCTGCCTGCCCACCAGCCTGGAGAGGGGCCAATTGGTGGGCTCGGCCTGCAGCCTTCCCTTTGCCCAGAATGTGCCGCCCTTAGAAACCTGCCTCAGGAGTAGAGCATGGCCCTTCCTCCTACACAGCCTTTCCCGCCAATGCCAAGAGCACTGAACATCTTTCTCTCAGAGTGTTGCTTGGGTTTTGCGATGGATCTCTCATGAGTCCCATTTCACTGATGGGGAAAACCAAGTCCCAAGTGTTGGTTTTGCCCAAATTTTGCCTTCACTCTACACAAACTGCAGGCCTTGTATGTAAGGGCCCCTGTCCAGTAGCCAGGCTGATTCAAGCCACACAGGCCCCGCCTCCATCCCCATCTACCCTGCTGCCTTGAGCCTCCTATCAAACTAAGGCAGGGGAAGCCAGGCCTACAGAGGGCTCTTTCCTGAGGGCACCCAGGCTCCCTTGAAGTGGCAGGCGCCTCTCTCCTCTCCCCAACCCCATCCCAAGAATGAGCTTCCTTTTCAGCACAGAGAATTTCTTCCAGCCACAAAGTTTGATGGTAGAGAAATCAAAACAGGAACCATAGGACCCCCGGAACCTTAGAAGAAGATGTCAGCAAGTGGCTGGCCCCTGGAGGCCACTCAATGCTCTAGTTGGCTTTAAGAATCTCCTCTCTTCCACCCCTTCAGAGCTTTTTTTTTTTTTTGGCGCAGGGTGGGAGTACAGGGTGGGGGGAGCACCAGGGATTGAAACCTGGGGCACCTCCCCAGCCCTTTTTTTGTATTTTAATGATGACAGGGTCTCTCCGAGAAAGGCCCTGCTAAGTTGCTGAGGCTGGCTTTGAACTCACAATCCTCCTGCGCCACTAGAATCACAGGTGTGTACCACCACTTCCGACCTTTCCTGAGCTTTTAATGAACTTTTCCTGGGCCTCTGGCTGGGATGGTTGGGGAAGAGTCGGAGTGTCTTGATAATACTTCTTTTGAAGGTGCAGTTAATCAGAGTTTTCCTAGTGTCTAGCTTTATGTGCCAGTGTGTGCACACACAGTGTGTGTGTGCACGGTGTATGTGCACGCGTGGTGTGTGTGCAGCCTGTCCTTATCTCCCTCTACACTGTAGCAAGCACCCATCTCACTTAAACAAATGGAAAATCAAGTGTCTTAATGGGTTTTCTCATTAAAGTGAAAGTACCACTGCAGGGGAGAGGGGAGGAATTTCTGCTGTAATCACTATCCTCAGGCTCTGTCCCCTCCCCCAAACCAACTGGGAATTCTGCAGGATCAAAAATCCTCCTGTTTCCAATCCACTAATTTAACTGTGGTAGCTTTGGGACAGGCCCAAGGTCACACTGGGACTCAGGGACAGAGTCAGGATTTGCACTCAGGCCCACAAACCTCAATCTAGTGCTTCTGCCTCCTTCCTTCTTCCCACCTCACTGTTGGTCTGGGGTTGAGATGCTAAAATTGAGGCACCACCTACAGCAGGGGACATTGCTTTGGCAGCTGAGTTAGACCGGGACTGGCGTCGGGATTGGGGAAAGAGGGGCATTTGGAGAGTTGGAACCACAAGGGATGGAACCAGGCCAAAGGTCAGGAGCAAGGCCTCAGGACTGGCAAGTGCTCCTGTGTAGCACCACAGGAGTCCCCAGCACTGATCTTAGTGCCCAGCCTGACCTGGGGAAGGTAAAAGCTCCCCAGGACTGCAGCTCTTCACAGTTAAGAGCTCTGTGTCTCTTTGTGAAGTTGGGGACAGAATGTGTCTTGACTTTTTGTCTTGACATTTTGGGAGTCCAACCTTCCCCAGCCCACTTTGTCCTGGATTTTTTCCTGCAATGAGATAGTCACCCATTCCTATCTATCAGGCCCACACCCTGAGCCACCAGGGTTTCTGTTCATGTGTGTAGGCTGCCTAGCACTTGGGGGATGGGCATGGGATAAGCTGATCCCCTCCATCCCAACTGCTTGGAGAACATGGTTAGCGATTTCCAATGGACAGGTCTCTGCAGGGTTTGCAGGCTCCAGTGCCATCTTTTGAACCTCAGACCTGGGTTGGGGTGGAAGAGACAACTTGAAGCCTGCTGAGGCCTACAGGAAAGGGCCAAGCCCACAGGTCCTAGGCAGGGACTTGGGGTTGGTGGCCCTGAGCCCAGAGAAATTGCTGCCTAGGCAGATGGCCCCCAGGGAGAAGGGCGGAGAAAGCCAGAGGCCCAGTCCTGAGCTGGCAATTCTGCTGGCCTCCTCCTCCTCCTCCCCAGTTTCCTAAACAGCCTCCGCAAATGGAGTCATTAAAGCTGGGAAGCCGAAATGAATCGAAACCAATGCATTCTGTGCTTTTGTTTCTTCCTTTTTTAAAGGAAATTTCAAATACTGTAATTAGAATAATACAAGGAGAGCCCTTTCCGGGCTGAGGAAGGGCTCTGGCACTGCTCCTTGGACTCCTGAGTCGGTTGTGGGGCACCCGCTCCTGCCCCTTCGGGCCTGATGGGGACCCCCTCCTAGGGCTTTTGGGGAGAAGCCTGGCATCCCGGATCCAGCTGCGGCTCTTCGCTGGGAGTTGGGTGACAGGCCAGAGCCGCCCCAGCCGCTGCGCCCCCGCGGGCAGACAGACCCAGGCGGAGCGCTCCGAGCCACAGGTCCCCGCGGCACCCCTTGCTCTGCTCCCGGTCTTGGGCGATGCTAATGGCAGTGAAAACATTGGCTGGAGTGCGCCGTAAATCAGCCGCCTCCCCCGCCCCCCCCCCTTTTGTTTCTCTCCCTCCACTCCCGCAGCTCCGAGCCCCGCGGTCCCCCCTCCACAAAGCCGCCTGATCAGCAGCTCCGCAGCTCCGCAGCTCCGGGGCTGGATCCAGCGCCACTGCACCCGCGCGCTGTCACCAGGTGTCAGCGTGCGCGCCCCTCTCGCGCGCCCCTCTCCCGCCCCTTCTTGTCCCCTTCTTCCCTCTTGCCACTTCCCTCCCCAGCCGAGCTAAATCGGTCCGCTGGAGCCCTGGGAGCTCTAGCGCCACCGCCTAGCGGGGAGCGAGCGCGGCCCCCCTTTCTCACCTCCACTGGGCTGCGCCCTGCTCCTGCAACTTCCCGCTGCGCTCTTTTATCTGGGAAGGCGGCTGGGGGTGTGAGGGTGTGTGGGGGGGGAGGAGAGAGAGAATTAGGAGGAGGGAGGAGGGGTGGGCAGGACCTGTTGCTCTGGGGTG